CCACTCGTACGCTTTTCCCTACATCAGGCAGGCTGATGCTTGCGAGTGTAACGGAGCGAACGTAGCGAGGGAAGCGGAGCGACCGAGCGAAGTGAGCGGAGTGAACATGCACATTTTTCGACCTATCAAATCTCTCCAAACTTAAATCGTTGCTTGTTCCCAAGCAACTTAGAACTAAAAGCACATAGATAGATAAAAACAAGTATGTGAAATATTACTCAGGGCCTCACAAATTCTCACATAAGTACATAGTTCAAACAACTCAGATCAATTAATCCGGACCCAAGATGAAATCATTCTAAGAACTCAAACAATCAAGTATCAATTCAAGTGACCACCATAGTTCGTCAATCTCTGACGAATGTATTGATCAATGCAATTCATGACACCCCTCACTTTGCTAACTAGTCTAGTTCATCTTTGTTTCTAGTCAATATTCAATTGTCTCGTTCTCCTTTTTTTTTCTTTTTTTTTTATCTTTATTTTTTTTTTGTGAAGTAGGGAACGACAGCTCCGTCACAACTCGTGGGTTTTAGCCTTTCGTGCTCGTCTAAATACGAAAATTACTAGATTTGTACACTAGAGCTCCCACGGGTTGGCAGTTGTTGCAGCCCATAACTCAATTTTTTTTTTTCTTTTTTTTGCCAAAGTCTTTTCGACTCCACCATTTATTCTTTTTTTTTTTCCTTTCACATTATTCTATTATTTTTACTACGAGACATCAAACACCGACTTTCAACATCAAGTCACCAAACATAGCCAACATTAATCAAGATAATCACAGGAACATCTCAACGACACAATTCAATTCAAAACCAACTCACCATAAATAAGTCACAAAAATATCAACTCTCATGCTGTTGATCCCAAAACAAAACCATCTAAAGATATTTAACCAAATATAATCAATTCAAGTCATTTAAACTAGCACAATAAATCCAAACAAACTCTCATATCATCATCGCAAAATTCCACATACAAATAGACTCATACTCAAACAAATCAAGAGAATATATAATAATCTAGCATATAAATCTCTCAAGCTAACACATCTCCCCAAACTTAGAGTTCGCACATAAGAGAACAAAATAGGGGATAAAAGGAAAGAGTTCACCTTATCAAAGAGGGGAAGTCGCGATCATCGCACACTATTGGGTTGCCGCCCAACAAGCGCCTTTTCTTATTGTCGTTGGCTCGACTTATTGCTCCTCTTTCTTCAAGCGGTCCATGGCGGCTTCATAGGTGGCCTCAAAGGAGGCATGAACCTTGCAACACCATGCTCATGAAGGATCCCCTTGTCCGGTGTCGAGTGCTTGACCGGATCTTTTCTTCTCGGCGGTAGATCGTCATGGCAAAAGATTAGCCCGGGATCATGAATAAAGGGGAAAATCTCAACCACCTCAAAGATGTAAGTCTCCTGGTTTTCAGCGTGCTCGGCTACTGGTTGTTCGATCATGGATAGAAGAGGTTGATTTTCAGTCATGCTCGGCGCAATTGATGGAGTTTTTTCACCTTCAAGTGGGCTGTTATCGGGGCCCCCGATAGCAGTAGAACATGCTACCAGGCTGTTATCAGGGGGTAATAACAACGGAAATTTGCTCCTCATTGCCTTCTTCTTCATTCTCTTTCTCGCTCGGATCATCATTCAGCTCAGAAACATGATTTTCCAGCACCTCAGGCACCATCTCGCTGCTCAGCCCAAGGGCTCCCACATCATCGTGGCTGGCTTCGGCTTGACATAGCCGACTCTTGGCTCGGACATCCAATTCGCTCAATACTTCATCAATCTTTTTGCTACAGGCCATCAAAGATTTTTTACACTCCTCAAATAACTTCACCATTGATGGGCTAGCCTCTTCGTTGAGCGAAGGTTCTGAAAAATATTGCGAGCCTCCATATTAGAATTGAGAGTCATCGTGCTCATAAGTAGGCTCATACAATCGAAAATATTGTGGATTTTCATAGAATGAATTTCCACGATTTCCCCAACCGTAATGGTCCCCATCGAAATTTGAGTACACCCATTCGTCTTGTCGATACCAATATCTCTCGGTAACTTACGTGCACCATATCTCTTGAACAAAAATGGGCAATCATCGGTGACATGTTTTATGGTACGACATAGACGGCATGGTCTCCTTAAAGCTTGACGGACACTCTCAAATGGCACCTTGAATCATAGCTGACATCCTAGCCTCACGATGTTGGTCTCTTATTTCCCTCCTTTTCATTTCATAATATGAATCGTACGCATAAGCACAATCCGGGCTCCAATATGCATCCATATCGAACGAATACCACCTGCAAAAGAGAATTAAAATAAAAGGGGGATTAAAAGAGTAAAAGAAAATAAAATAAAAACTAATCTAACTACCTAATTCAATTAATACTAAAAAAAATCACAACTCAATTGCGCCACTCCCCGGCAACGGCGCCAGAATTTGACCGCGCGTCGCGACGCGGCAAATTTAAATTTATAAAGTTTCCTTAACAAACATCTACTAACTAGTAGTAGCGGCGAGTAAGAGTCGATCCCACGAGGAGCAGGAATTAAATCGTGATAATTTTCGTATCAATTGAACTAAAACTAAGAAAGCGAATAAAGGGGGGGGGGATTGATTTTATAAGAATAAAAATAATAAAATGAAATAAAATCAAATAAATTAAGAGAAGTCCAGTTTTCGTTTCGGTTATCACCCAATCTATATCTACTGTTAATCAATTTCGACGCTTTCTTTAAATTGCTAATAAATTACCAACCCTAGCTAACAACAAGCTCTGTTAACCGAATTTTCCCTTACCGAATATTTAATCGAAATAGGCTCTTCGACTAAACCTAACTAGTGGACAACCTAGAATAAGCTCTCTAGATTTAATGCACTAGCAGCATTAATTACTAGAAAAATAGATTAGTCTAAGCAACGGGCACAAAAGCTCGGACCGTTTAACTTATGTTCACGCTACCCTAAGGATGCACGACCCCTAGTTTACTACTAACGAAACAAAGATAATAACAATTACGGATTAAAGTCTCGTCTCTAGCAATTAAACAATAAATATTCAACGTAGCTGGCCAAACTAAATTAAATACTCATAATTCATAAACACTACACACAGATAACGTGAATCAACTCATCAACAAAATAAATACGGCGTCTCGATAATCAATAATAAATATAAATCCTCAAATTCATAGACAAATTCGAGTTAGGGTTCAAACATCCCCTAAAACTGGATAAAAATATTAACCTAACATACTAATAAAAATAAAAACTAGATAAAAGAGAGAAGATAAAACTATCTCCCTCGTGTGCGGGTGCGGCTTCTCTCCGCGTGTGTAGCCTCTTCCTTATCTCGGCTCTCTGTCCGTGCGTGTACTCTGTGTTTTTATTTTTCTTCCGTCTCTCGTGAATAATTTTCCAGCTAATTCAATTTCCTCCCATAAATCCTAAACAAGCTGGACTTTTCAACCAATCTTTTTTTTGTGGTCAAATCTTTCTCTCCACGTGACTAAGTTTTAGGCCCAAATTCCCGTTCCTTCCTTTTTTCCAGCAAGTCCTGGGACCTCATGAATAATTTACTCCCACCAGTTTAAATTCTACAAGCCCAAAAATTGATGCATGTGGGTCTTCTTTTCCCTTAATTGGGCCTAAACTTTACAGCAAACATATGGGCCTAAAAATGGGCTGATGTTGAAGGCTCGATTATCACACGAACTCTCGTCCGTTGTTTCACATATACAAAATACTCCAGTGTGCTGAAAATACATATAAAATAATCAAAACAAATCAATCCATCCAAATAATAAATAAGTCGAAAAATACAAGCGCGCGAATAAATTAAGCATATAAAAATACACTATTAAATATATAAAACATGCATATTTTTCGACCTATCATGAAGCCAGTGTTATGCAGTGAGATAGTGATTTTCATGTTCATATGATGATTATGCTAACTGTGCTTATACTAAGTCGATGCATAGTTTGCTTGTACCACTGAGCATAGAGGATTTGTTCACCCCATTGTTTTTCAGATTAAGCAGCTAGAGGCAGACACGAGAGGATGGGGGTGGTCATTGTTTAATTGTGTTTATGTTTCCACAAACTTTTACAAACTCATTGTCTATCTTATCATGTGTTGAGATTAAAACTGAGTTTGATGTTTGGTGTTTTGAGACCAAGTTATTTCAATTGAGACTAAGTATTTTAACGTTCTACTTTGTCTTAATCATTGAAAAGCAAGTATTATTTATGGGGAGTGATTTTCTTAAGGACCTAAGTGTGAGGCTTATGTTAAATTTTCAAAGAAAGGAAGGGAAAGAAAGAAAAGTATTTTAGAAAGTTTTGAAACGAAAAGGTTTTCTGTAGTGCCCGAGAAATGTTTTATTTTTGAAAGGTTTTGAAAAGTTCAAATTACTTCTAAAAATCATAGTAGTTTTCTTAAGAAAAGTAAGCGGGCGCAACAGTTTTCGGCACCCCGCTCACAGCTCAACCCTACACTCAGCACACAGAAATCTCGCACAGTCACCTCTGGCGCATGATTAAGTAGCAGCAGTTTCACGTTCAACACGCCGGTCGTCGACCTGTCTATTGTTCGGTCAGTAGTCCGACTATCCTCAACTGGCACCTACCTTCGGGCATTCTTGGAACCAAATCGAGATCGAGAGGCTGAGGAACGTAGGATTGGAACTGTCGTGTGGGGTAATCTTTTTCTATGCACAATCGCAGTGTGGTTGAAAGTCTCACGATGCGTTCGAGGTCAAATGGGTCGAGTGGCTCATCTATTACGAGACCCTCCACGAAGCGCATGACGAGCCCAATGTGCATAATGAAGCATGTCGATTTCCACTGCGAACAGGAGCCAGCGATGGAGGCCGTCGGTGTCTCCAGTAGCATGGCATAGCCGAGCACGTCTCCGATGACCATGAAGAAGGCGAAGAATCCACTCTCGTGCTTAGATGAATGCTCTGTTGAGCAAAGATGGATATGGATGAATGCATATTATCATACCATGTACGTGTCGATGGCGACGCTCTCTGTCGGCGGTCTACTGCGTGGAGCGAGCGGCGGTTGCACCTGGAGAGCGTCGGTCTACTTCATTTTTTATTCATTTTTTAAACCAACTTCTTCATTTATTTATTTTTTTAATATATGAAATTATTAAAATGCCCTAAAAATCAACATTTTTTTTTGGTCAAAACAACTTTTATGTCCATTTTATGAGGCAATTTGACAAACTCGTACAATTTAGATGATGGTTTGTAAAAATAAGTTTTATATGGTGATGCATCAAACCGCAAAAGTTCGGATGGCAATTTTTCCAGATAGAAAACTAATGCTGTAATATCCCGAGATATTATCAGTATAAATTACGTTCAATTCCGATATAGTAACGTTATCGTTTATTATTTTCGGAATTAATTTAGTTCAGTCGGGATTACCGAAATCT